GGAAAAATTGACATGCCTGAGCAATGATCCTAAAAGCAAGCACTCAACACTAGTTTGAGTGTGTGTTTGCATATTTATATTATAAACATAAATGCTCTAAATCTCTCACATTGAGAGGAAACAGACACTCCGCGATATAAAGCAAATTATGGTATAGTTATTTTATTCTTTGCTGAGCCATCTTCAGCTGAGCCACAGTAATTAAATTCCTATATTGTGCCAAATGACAATGTCAGGGTTTGCACAATTGAAATGCTAAGAAACCACATTATGCATTAGTATGATATGTAAACCCACCTAATGGATGGGTTTACATATATCATGTAAGACATAACGTAATTAATTTGGTTTGACCTCATACAATATGCAAATGGAGCCACTGTGATTTATCACTATACTGAATCATAATACAATTTGTTTAACAAATACATGCTTACACTACTGGCTTCTATATTTTCATAATTAATGCTGGGATACTAATCCTAGGGAAAACTGATAGCTTGAAATGTAAACAATGCAACAAAGAGGCAAGAATGAAACAACATATAAAGTAATTTAAAGCAACTAGTGTGAACGACCGACTAGGAAATGCAACAGTCAATATTGGGACACTATACTCAGTTTAATCAGACTTTTGACCCTGCTATAAATAATAAATTCCTAGCTTTAAATCAATGCACATGTAATATGCAGAAGCAATACTTAATGTGTACGAGAGCTAGTATATGATCTGAAAGTCTATGACCTGAATGAATTGAACAGGAGCATTCTGAATTTTGTCTTCTGATCGAAACATACTTTCTGCTCTTAAATTATATTACTTTTCATTTGTCCTCCAATATGTTATTTTAATAATCTTTATTGCCATAAAAAATTGAAGAATGAAGGAATGTTTGTAAATCTTAGCCACTGTTATGTGCAAGAACACAGAGAAGGGGGAAAATTTAAATGCAGCACTGGCAATGCTTTTTAAAAATATATATATTATTCTATCCCTGTGCTGCAAAAGGAATTCAAGACAACAAAAGCAGCAGTACAGGACATTTTTTAAACATAAGTATATATAGTATGTATAGGAACCCAGCATGGCAGCATTTGTTAACCTTTTTGTACTATGAACATCCAATGATGTCATTCAACATCACATCAGCTTACCGTACATTCTCACCATTAAATAAGACATTTTCCAAACAAAAGAAATGGTGAATTTAGCAGCATGGTATAGATTTTTCCTACCATGCTGAACAAAAACCAAACAAGCATTTCACATGCCTTCTTGAAATTAATTCTTTCTTTGCACTATGACACAGACACAATTCTTAAATGAATGTAGTGGAACTAATTTAAACTGTGTGTGCTGCAATAGATTAAATCTATTTTCTTTTTAAAAATATAGTTATTTTCAATGTTATTGAGCAACCTTATCCTGTTGTTCACTTTCTAACTTCCTTATACAATTGAGTTTACTGATTTTAAGCTGACATCTGAACAGGAAGTAAAAACCAGAAGACATACAAAATCTCTGCACACTATAAATGAAAAATATCTTGGGACTGTAGTTACTAGAGATTAAATATCCACGCAAGTTTGAGAATTTGAAGAAGTGATAAGCCACAAGATTTTGCTGCTCCTATAACAATTATCCTTCTAGAGCTAAACAACAATGATCTCTGTTACCTCTCTGAAAGTTAATAAACATTAGCATGTATGACTTAAATAGATATAGTTCAGAGTAAATAATGCACCTATTTGTCAAATAGTTTTTTTTCCAGCATCTTCTATTACAATAAGCACAATTCAGTCAGCAACAGTCAGGCAAGCTGAAAGGTTAGGAAATGACAATCTCATATTAGCACTGCTAATTCCAACTGCAGATGATGGATGCATGCATGCTTTAGTGACAAATTAAACTTGTTGCTAGAAGAGTATAGAACAGGTAGTCTTGTCCCAAAAGAAATGTAAGCCTTAAATAAATACAAATAAAAGTGTACATATTTCTATGTGCAACATCAAAGAATAGAAGTAAATGTTTTTACCAATGTGCCTTTTTGCAGAATAAAACATGAGAATGACATCTGTTTTGTACTATGAAATGAACACTTATTTAGAAAGTTGAAGTGATGAAAGCTTAATGCTGCACTATAATTTTTGCTCCATTATAACAGGAAAATACAGAAAGGAACAGTGAAAGTTTCAATAACAGTACATGCTCTGGGAATGCATTTAATATCAGTGTAATTCCAAAGAGCAACTATAAGATTCCTGATTAGTCAATAATTTATTATCTGTGTTGCTTACTAAATTGCAAAGTAATATAATTGGGCTTAGATCTTTTTGGCTTACTAGTTGTCCTTGCTTAATCCTAGAAGCTAAGCAGGGTTAGCCCCAGTTAGCATTTGAATGGAGCCAAGGAGAGAATCCCAGGCTGTTGGCTGCATTTGGAAATAAACAAAAACATTCTGGTAAGCCACTCTCTTAATGCCATCAAAATAACTGCATGAAAGCAGCCAGAATGAAACTTTAAAAAAATAAATAGTGATAGATTGATAAAAATGACAAATCCAGTATAAATATGTAGCTGACTGCAACCAACTATAATAAAATAATGCAAGATCATGACTCAGATTTGTTACAAATAACAGAATAAGAAAGGTAGCAACAACGGTGCATTGGAATATCTGCCAGAAATACTACTTGCCTCGAAGAACTGGTGACACGAAGTAGTAGTAGTAATAGAAAATGAAAAAGCCAAAAACCTCTGGGACAGATAAGCATATGCCACACAAGGCTTAACAATTGCTAAGACTAAAAAAAAAGTCCGAATAGTGGACCTGACAGTACCTGGAAATAGCAGGAGAAAGAAACTGGAGAAAAATCCCAAAATACAAAAAAAGTTGCAGATCAAAATAAAGGACTATGGCAAAGCGAAGACAGTACCAATAGGTGACTTAGGTGCCAAACATCTGGAACATCACTTGAATACCAACATCATTCACAAAATCACGATCAGAATTGCCAATGGCAGATTTATTTGGAACAGTCTACATCTTGTGATATAAGCTTTAATATTATTAAACAACATATGTCTATCATACTGGGTCCTGGGGAAAAACACAAAATATCTGATTGACTGTGCATCTATTTAAAGGTTGACTCAGCCTTCCATCCTTCTGAGGTGGATAAAATGAGTAAAATGAGGACCCAAAAATGTTGGGGGCAATCTTCTGACTCTGTAAACCACTTAGATAGGGCTGTAAAGCCCTGTAAAGTGGTATATAAGTCTAAGTGCTATTGCTATAATAATGCCTTTTAGTAATTCCATCTTGATTCCAAAAAAATTACTTTCTCCTGCAATTTTCTAGCATAAAATAAAAACTCTTCTTCCAAGGCGGCCATTTTTAACCACTATATAAAAAGCAAGGCTGAATAACTAAATTTATACTGATGAGCTCTGAAAGCCAAGAACCACACTGCCTTATCTTATCTGGTTGACACGTTAATAGAAGGCTTTAGACCTCAGATCATTAGGTCAAGAATGTCCTTTATTTGGAAGCAGTTGTATTATGGTAAGAGTTACTTGACTTGCTTACTTGATCTCTTACAGAAGACATATTTTAAAACTGAGTTACTTGGAAGAGGCATGCTTATTTGCACCACAAAGTGATTGGAGGAAACAAAGAAACTCAGGAAATAAAACTGTTGCTCTGTTATATATCTTTTGGTGTTTGCTTTTTTTAAACAAAAGTTAAAACAGCAATTTCCCACCCCCATTAATCTAACACAGATAGTTGTTCTCCTAAAGGGCATCAGAATACGACTGATCAGTAAGACAGAAACATTTAACTTGATTCACACCTTCTCTTTAACCTTCTCTTATGACTGGTCAGGACTCATCAAAGTGGTAACAACTCATTTGTTTAATCCTGCTTTCTCAGAGTTTTATACCAAAAGTGGCTTCAGCAAATCTAATCAACCTTGCCTGGCAAATTGCACCTCTTCTGTTGTCCCCAATTGTGAAGTAGCTGGTCACCTTTGCACCTGCTCATCCAAGAAAGATAAGGACTGGAAGCTATCTGATTAACCCAAAGCTATTGATTTTTCCATTTAACCCAGAGCATTATCTGATCCTCAATACCTGGGTATCAGTTCTTCAGGACTCCAGGCAGAGTCTTTATCACCCCATGCTTCCTTCCTTCCACCCTTTCCTTTAGCTGACAATTAAAATAAAGCCTTCCGCCTAAGGCTTACACAGTACTTCCCAAGGTAGGTGAGTAGAGGCAGAGCTAAAAGAATCTAAATATGACACGTTGCGATTTGGATCTGAAAAGATGGCCTAGTGTGTATATAGCTCCATACCCAGATACTTTTCTGACAGTTGCTACAATAGAGATCCTATCCTGCAATTGACAACGCAGCCCAAGGAAGGGATGCCAACAAGCCAGCGTGCCAACAAGCCAGGCCAGAGGGGTTACAGGTGCCAGCTTACGAAGAGTGGCAGGTCATTGCAACAGATGCCCTCACCCATCTGACCAAAGGGTTTACTCTTCCAGGGGGGAGTAAAAAGAGGAAAATAAAATCCTCTCTGCCCTTCACACACTCAATCTGAATCCTTCCTGCAACGTTGGAGAATTGGGTTTGACGCTCCCTCCAAGCCATTCTGTCAGTCCCTGCAGCCCAGCCATGAACCCATTTTACCCACTTGGCCCATGGGAGGGGGCTGCCCAACCACAGATTTCCCAGAAACACCCCCTCCCCACACCGCCCAAGCCCCCATTGTTCTGGACAGGGGCCCAAACGCAGCAGAAACCCGGCCGCCGGGGCCTGACTAAACCCTGGTTAGTCCGGTCAGGACGAGCCGCCACCCCACCCTGGGGACAATCTATGGAACCCGGCACTGAGTCCCCCGACACGGGGTAGAGAGCGCGGGAGGAACGTCGGAATGCACACGCGTGTTCGGCGGCCGCTATCCCTCCCCCCGCCGCCGCCGCCGCCGCACTCACAGTCGAGGTGCTTCTTCTTGGGGCCCATGACTTCGTGGGTGGTGGCCTTGCAGACGGCCTTAGCGATGGCCGAGCCGGTGACGCTGTGCTGCGCCGCCGTGATCCGGTCGGTAATCGACTGGCCCGACATGACGGCGGCGGCGGCGGCGCTCCCTGCCCAGCTCGGCTCCGGCGGCCCCTCAGCAGCGGAGGACTTCCCCGACGGCCCTCAGCAGCGGCGCAGGGCGGCAGCAGCAGCAGCAGCAGGAGGAGGAGGAGCGGCGGCGGCAGGCAGGCCGCGGGGCGGAGCGCCGCCAAGCCCGGCCCAGCCGCCGTGTGCAGCCCAGGCTGAGCCGAGGGAAGGCCCTGTCCGCTTCCCTCCTTGGCCTCTCTTCCTTCTCTCTCTCTCGCTCTCTCTCACGGGCGACGACGTCAACGCGGCTCCCGTCCGGCCAGACCTCCGCCCCGTCCGGCCTGTCTACGCCGCCGCCGCCGCCGCTGCCTCCTCACCTCAGAGGCCCGCGCCCGCGCCAGACAAAATGGCGGCGCGTCATGTGACCGGCGGGCCGCGACGCCTCAGGCCGCTGGCCACGCCCACCATCCGGCTCAGCTAGCCCGCCACGCCCCGCGCGCGCTCCAGTGGGAGGAGGCGGGGCCAGTCGCTCGCTTGCAACCTGGCGGGACTGGAGGGGGGGGTCGATGATGGCCGCCGCGGCGGGACGGGCTTGGTGGGGCGGGGGGTGTCCCCGCAGCCTCGGAGGAGGCGGGGCTGGGCTGGGCTGTTGCAAAACTCCCGAGGCGGGCTGGTCTCCTCCGGCTCTTGGGCAGCCAGCCCAGGGGTGTGTGCTCGGTGGGCGCCTGCCTGGGTTCGCCCCTGCCCCACGGGGAAGGAGGGGGTGGGCTGGCTCTTCTGGGCGGCTGCCTTTGCACCCCGGCTTGGAGGAGACGCGAAGGCAGCCCCGTCCTTTGTTGGTGGACCTGTTTATTAGGTGCCTGGATTCAGAAGAGCTTCAGGAGAGCGAGATCGCAGCAGCAGCAGCGCCGAGGGAAAGGAAAAGACGGATGCAGTAGTCGGGGGAAGGCTTTGGAGGGGGCGGGGGGGTCCTTAAGACGGCCTGGGTTCCAGCTGCGCGCCCCTTCGGCTTGCAAAAAAAAAAAGCTGCCCAGCTAAAATAGCCTCTGTGCATTCAAGCAGGGTCTGGAGCGTGTGGATGCAGCAGTTAGGTAGGCGAATGAAGGTGGAATGAACCGGTATTTCACCTTGTAGCTACTGGGGGGGGAAAGGGGGATTAACGATCATTAGTGGCGTTAATAATGCTGACCGTCTCACATAGGATCTGCCTGGCTGATCCAACCTGGCCCTTGCCTGGCCTTCGGCATAAAATGTGGCTCTGCGGCTTCAGAATAACCACCCGGTGGGGCTGGTTAGCATCCCGAAGGCAGCTCCCAGCCTTTTCATTCACATTTAAGGATGGATTTTTAACTGTTCTTGCCTCTTATGTGCAGATTTTATGTGAGCAAGATGGGTGGATTCTAAATTTGACAGAGAATGGAATAGGAATAGAACAGAACAGAATAGAATAGAATAATATAGGGTACAATAGAATAGAATAGAATAGAATAGAATAGAATAGAATAGAATAGAATAGAATAGAATGTATTGTTACCTTAAATGTACACTAATCGGCACATATTAAAATGAAATTGTGTTGCATACAGCTCTCAAAGGGTCACCATCTCCAATATACACTACATAAACATGACAAAATAAATAAATACAAAATTATGCATATACTCACATACATTATATGACACAGAGAAACAATACAATCTAATTCGGATGTATACATGGTGACAAAAATGAATCTTGCAAGTTTACCAGATGAATGGCATAGGAAACAAAGATAGATGATAGATAGATAGGTAGGTAGGTAGGTAGGTAGGTAGGTAGGTAGATAGATAGATAGATAGATAGATAGATAGATAGATAAGAGAGAGAGAGATGAGGGCATGATAGCTCAGTTGTTAAAGATGCTGAGCCATTTTGTCAGCTGAAAGCTGATAGCCCGGGTTTGATACCCAAACACCATGCAACAGGGTGAGCTCCCATTACTTGCCCCTGCTCCTGCCCACCTAGAAGTTCGAAAGCATGCAAATGTGAGTAGATAAATAGTACCACTTTGATAGGAAGATAACAATGCTGGCTCCCTTCAGCTAAGAAACAGAGATGGACACCACCCGCTAGACTCAGACACAACTGGACAGGGGAAACCTTTATCTTAGAATTAGATACGTAGAGAGATTATATGATGGATGGATGGATAGAAGGATAGATAAATAGGATAGATAAGGTAGAAAAATAGATAGATGATGGATGGATGTGGGGTCCTTGGTGCTCTCTGAGCTTGGTTGTTTTCTTGCAGACGTTTCATTACCCTAACTAGGTAACATCATCAGTGCTAGTAAGGATTAAGATAGGTGGATGGTATATAAACTGTTGGCTCAAGCACAGTAAATTGGAGAGACCTGTTGCTGGCCAGCCATGTAAACCTCAGTACAGTACAGTGAATTCAGCTTCATCCCATTTGGTTTTGGCTCCTGTGCAAGGACGGGTTATTGGTGACCGTGCTAGTGCCAATCGCCCGCAAATGCTTGTGTTGAGAATACAATGAGAGCTTTCACCAGGCTCCCAGGCTCCCAACTGCATCTGGAAAAAGCTGACTTCAGTACACCCTGAGCAAGAATAGGATCCTTTTGTTTGGCTGTGAAACTGTTCATCAGAGTCTTCAGCTATGAAGCAAAACAAAAGACCAACAACACTCCCCCCCTTTTCAATCTAAAGTTGGAGAGAGGCTGACCATCGCCCCTTTGGAGAACGACTTAAAATGGAATGTTTTTAGGGCCAAAGTTAGGGTTTTCACAAGATTTTTGTTCAATAGTTAATGATAGATAATGATAGATAACGATGATAGATACTAGTTGTACAATGTGCAATGACAATAAACTAAACTAAAAAAGATAGATCTTGCAATGACAATAAACTAAACTAAAAAGATAGACAGACAGACAGACAGACTGTTGGCTAAGATCAATTCAGTTTTGAAATTGGTTGTCAACTGAACCATGAATGGTTAACCATTGGAAGCACTAAGTCTGGAGAAGGAGAGAAAGAAGGAAATTAATTGTAGACTAGTGCAAGAAATTATAGTCACATGCAGCTGAGCTGAAGAAAAAAGAACCTGGAGCCCCTTGTTGATTTTCTCAACAAGTGCCAAATTATAAACTATTAGCTGGACCAGAGAGAAGTCCTTGGAAATCAGGGTGTTTCCTCAGAATACTATATTGTCATCACCGATGATGAGAGCTACCAAACTGAGGATGTTATTCAAACCACAATCTGGTTTAGCTCTGACTTCCTGGTACGTTTTAGAGCTGTGGCTTTCATCTGCCCAACCTTTGATCAGATCTAATGCTGTTTAGCTTTCTTCAAATCACCAGTAGCTAGATACTGCCATCTGCTGTGACTTTATGCTGAGTAATTGCTGCCCAAACAACAAATGGTTTCAAAATTCTATGTATATATAGTGTGCTTTACTGTATGGTCTATGACGGTTGACCACTAGCTTATAAGTAAATCAACTTCAGAGACAATCTTGGTGAAATTTACAATTTCAGAACAAGTTGTGTTCTTCAATTGAGAACAAGTTGTGTTCTTCAATTGAGCACAATTGAGAAAGTCCAGAAATATTTCACAAGAAGAGTTCTCCACTCCTCTACTCATTGTAGAATACCTTATGCCACCAGACTTGAAATTCTAGAACTAGAAAACCTTGAATTACGCCGTCTTCGGTCTGACTTAAACATGGTATATAAAATCATACATTGCAATGTCCTACCTGTCAATGAATACTTCAGCTTCAACCATAACAACACAAGAGCACACAATAGATACAAACTCAAAGTTAACCGCACCAAACTTGATTGCAGGAAATACGACTTCAGCAATAGAGTGGTCAATGTCTGGAATACTCTACCCGACTCTGTAGTTTCTTCCCCAAACCCCAAAAACTTTAACCTTAGACTGTCTACTATTGACCTCACCCCTTTCCTAAGAGGTCTGTAGGGGGCGTGCATAAGCGCACCAACGTGCCTACCGTCCCTGTCCTATTGTTTCTCTTATTCTTCTTTTATTTTTCTTATATGTACCCATTTCATGTATTCACAACTATGTATACACTTATACTTATTATCTTGTAAACAATTGGCAAATCAAATAAATAAATAAAATAAATAAATAAATAAATAAACAAACTGATATTCTCAACAGTAGCTTCACAAGCACAAGTAAGCTGTGCAGCTGTGTATAGGATGGTAATAGGAAGACACTTCTCTGTCCAGATCAAATAATTCCAGCAATGAACTTACTGCAAAGATCTATACAAAATATAACTTGTTTCCACTCCTAAAAGAAAGCATTTATCTGATACATATACAATGACTGATTTCATGGCTAATGTACTCAGTTGCCTTGTATCATGGGTCAACCAACAGAAACTCAAAGATTATGTCTGAGCAAAGATGTTATGCAACAATTGCTTTTGTCATTTGCAGAATTTTAAATGACACCCAGAAATCTTCCGTTCATAATCCTCACATTCTAACTATCTCCTTTGTTTGTTTCTTACCACAAAAGAGAAAACTCTGAGAGAACTGCCAATGCCTTTTTTAAAAAATCTAGTTTGCATTAAATTTCTCAAGATTATCATATAATGAATATGTTGGAATATTCAAATTTGTATTTGTGTCTCTTCTTTCTCTTCCAGTAATTATGTGTGCCTGCAGTTTCTTCCCCAATACACTGTTCTTTTATAACCACATAATGAAATGTGTATCTTTTTTTATTTTAAAAGGAATCTGTGAACTAGCTGCTCTCTAAATTTTCTAAATTTTACATTAAAGTGCTACCTTTAACATCTCTGGACACAGCAATAAAACAGGATCTTGCGAAACAAATTGGTTGTTTCTTATGAAGGACACAAATGTACAGCACTGCTTTAATTTACAGCGTTTTCTTATACCTGCATGTGAAGTATGGAGAAAACTCATCAAAAATAAAAATTCATATTCCTGAGCTGTGCAGTTCTTAAAAGGGCCTTTTCTGAGCAGTAAACCTAGAACAGAAGAATGGAACAATGATTTATTTGCATTGCTTATTAATAACAGACATGTGATACATAGTGGCTAAGGCACCAGGCTAGAAATTGGGAGACTGAATTCTACCCCCATAAAGCCAGCTGGGTGATTTTGGGCCAGCCACTTTTTCTCAGCACTATGAAGAAAGCAATGACCCTTGACTGCTTCTGAAAATCCTTGCCAAGAAACCTGCAGGGCTTGTCCAAGCAGTCTTTGAGAACTGGACAAGCATAAGCTGTACCAGAGAATCTAATCTTAATTACATTATTGCCACTGGAGGTATGAAAAACAAGATATTTCCCCACATTCCTTCCATTACTATTTCACTGAAATGTTGGTAG